AATTACAGATTGATTTATCACTGAAAGTACTCTTGAACAGTTGGAGGAGTCAAATTGAAGTAGGTACTGGTATTATTACCATAAAAACAAGTAAGAGCATTGCGCAGCAAGCTACATATAATGTACATCTTTCCTACAGGGCTTAGTCCTATTTTCAAGTTTCTTCTAAAGTCCATAAAGGCAAAGTAAGTTGAAATATCAGCAAAAACCCACTCCACTGCTATTCTAACAGAACTCATGCTCATGTTAAAGGCTTGTTGTGCAGCTGTCAACTGTGCATTCTGAAAGGGTGTTTGTAAATGCACTTTAAGTGGGTATGCTGAATCCCCATARACGCACAACAGCTCTAAGGCAGGTGATATTGCATATTGATCCATTTGATGAAGAAGCCCTGACATTCTAAGTAAACCACCATCATGACGCTTACCTTCTGAAATGTTACAAAAGTACATGAATTAGTTTGTACATGACATAAATGCAATATGATTTTCAATTTAAATATTTAGGTTCATGGTTTTTATCTTTATTCTTATATGAGTACAGCCTTTTGCAAAAATTATGAGAATTGTCTAAATATCTAAATATCATAATATCCATATCCATATATTGTCCGGAACACACGGGTTTGCTAGAATAATTCATTGCTGACATCGAGAAAATGTTCAGAACTATTTCTGTCGCCAAAAAAAACTAAACTACAAAGACAAGGGACTAAGGGCATCGCGCGGGATTACACATCATGCACTTGATATTATGATATTTAGATATTTCGACAATTCTCATAATTTTTGCAAAAGGCTGTATGTTCTTGCAATAAGGAGTATTTGTATGTGTTAAAGCAAATTTGACAATGCAAAAAGTCTGATTTGGTAGTAATTAAATGTTTGGTTATTTTATGTAAACAAATGAATAAAAATACTACATGCAGTTTGGCTGTTTCAAGCAAAGACATCTATTTAACTTATTTGCTTTATAAATGTATATACCAATAGGATAACATYATACCTAAGGGTCCAAACATATTGGCAATCATCCCATTTGGCGCAACAACTGATTGAAATTTTAGAGCATGTATGCGCTTATGACCATTGTACATCACTCTTTTGATGCTCTCCTGGGCGGGCAATTGGTCTCACAGTACCATCTATGAAGCCCCAGCAGTTTTCAAGTGCTGCTCCCTTTTAAGGGAAAAATAAAAAAATAAATAAAAATAGTAACAATTATAATATTATATGTYAATTTTTTAAACAGTGCTTTGTTTTTAATTCTGTGATGCTTTGATATCTTCTAGGCTTGATCTTYATAAAAAACCTAGCCTCTAGTTCCCTGATACATGAATCATCATCAGAAAGAGAATGAACTTTTTTGTTACTTTTTCAAGTAACTTACTTGAATATTTGACAAAGTTTTCAGATATCAATGGTATAAAATAACACTCACATAAATAAATTCAATTCAAACTTGATTCTTACTGCCAAACTTTGCCATTGGCTGYCTGTTTGCAGTTCTAAGTATATTTTTGTCTAATCATTTCGTGTGGTTCTTTCACTTGTGAAATTTGCCCCACAAATTCTTAAATTTTTATGCAAAATCTATGGCAAAATTAATATCTAAAAAGTTTCAGTTTCAATTTCTCAAACTAGACTGCCCAATTTGGAAATTTATCAAGAGAGCTCAGCTAGTTTTCAATTTTGAAAGAATATCATACTTGATTGCATGTGATGATAGATAATATAATTCTTATAAAATATTCATCATTTGTTATTATGCATTTATAGTTTAGTTTTCAAATTATGATAGTTTCAGAATTACTAATAAAAAATCAAATACACAAAATAATGATATCAGTGTATATTAAAAGAGCAAGACAAAAAAGTGACATTACGSTTGTTACAATTACAATGAAATGAGATCTTACCCTGTCATGAATTGCGTCTGCAAAACTCTGTAGATGGTCAGGCGACAACCAAGGCTGGTTTAGCGTGTTTAGTAGGTAACCATGATTGTTATAAATGAAGTCAGATACCTCAGATGCTATCTCACATAGCTCTGGGATTGATCGCCCAAACCTTGGTACCATGTCCACATATCGACACGGGTACGAGTATCTCTTCAAAACGACACAAAGTCCCTCAATTCCAGAAGCTTTTGTGCCATTGGAGCATGTAAAATTGTCTGGAATACCCATTGCCTCTGCCAACAAACCTATTTCGGCTTTACCGAAACGAAATTCCGTTTTACATTCATCTTCAGTCATACTGTCCAGATCAAATCGCCTGTAATCAGAGTACGGAATGCAGGGATTTTTCTTATTTATGCAGTCGTAAATCGCAAGAAACTCAACTTCATCCAAAAAATCTTCATCAAACAAATGTGCCATGCACATGTTAATTGATTTCTTGCTAAACATAGCAACATATAATACTTTGAAATCAGCCGAAGTAGTAAATAGTAAAGTCGCAGTCGTACTCTCTCGCTTKCAACATCTGAACAATATTTTGCTGACAACAACAATGAAGACGTCATATCTCAACCCAGTTTCCGCGCGGTCAAATCTCGTAGTCGTACTCGGACTCGTCGTCGTATCTGAAGCTCTCTAATAATTCAAACCTATTCCCTGGAAATGGGATATTGAACTGACAATCTGACAAGCAATTATTCTATTGTGTGTTTTTGTCCGTTTGTTTTTTGATGCACAATTTTAGGAGCTTACATCATTTAGGCCCTTGGAAATGCTTTTCAAAAAACTGTGAACTGCACTTGCTACATTCATCTGTCGGACACATAAGAACATGACATCTCACCCATAAACCCGACAGCCCCTCCTATGAAATGTGCCAAACTATACAACACAGGCTTGTTCCTCTTATCAGTTMTTTTCACTGTTAATTTTAGTTTATTCCAATGTCGGTTTAACTTCCACCAATCTCTTCGTAAATTCTTAGATGCTCATGTAGTACTCTCGGTATCCTAWAGAAGTAATTTTTTATAGCCCATCTACAAACCTATATGTCTAATTACCCCATTTTTATCCCCAAGTTCACGCTGACATTCATGTCATTCAACATATATGTTTATGACCACAAGGCTATGGAGTGCATCTTAAGAAGAATCCCCAAGCTTCTAGCCGTACTCTCCGGCCGCACCGAGGGAGGTGATAGATGCAGTGATACAAGTATCATGTCAAGTATCATGTATCATGTATACCGAAAAGCAAACATAGGAGATAGTCTTTCAAGACACAATCAGGAAAATGGAAAGGATCCAAGATGGGAATAAATGAAAAGTACTTTTGTGAAACGATATATTGCATAGAATAAAATAAAGGACGTCAACGTAGGAAGGCAGACACTGATTTTGTGCACAGTTGTGCACTAGAAAGTTTATCTTCAGTAGAAGTCATGCACTGTTTATATTTTATTTTTATATAATTCAATGGATCGGGACAATATCGAAGTCGTTTTGGCACCAAACAAGCATTTGTTCACGGTAGAAAGAAATGTACTAGACCCTTTCAAGGAGACATAAARCTGCAACACTCATGCCCTGGAATGTACGCAGCTGTTATCTTTGTCAGTTGATTTAAAAGTAAAAGTTCAATTGACATCATAACTATGTCCTTTTTATTCCGAGCTTCACATGCGAATACAATGCCGTGTACAATTTAAGAGTGTGTCCACGAGAAAACCAGGCAGTGGGTGCTACATGGGGGTCAGCCAATTCTCCTGAAACTTGGCACACTTATTGCATTTAGTAAGTTATTTGACATTATATATTTTTTTTGAGATCGGTCAAAAGGGGGGGGGGAAGTTAGGTTCCCCCCTGGAAAATGGCCATTTTTAGCACAAAAATTGCACAAATTAACCTCAACTTTGCAGAAGCATAAAAGTGTAACGGTTATTCACAGCAACCTCAAACTTCTTTACATACAAGATATACATCTCAGTTACTGATATCAGGTATACAGATGGAAACATCTGTCAATCCGTTCCCATAGTAACCACATAACTGAACACAAAAATTTCCAATTTTGAATTTATTGAAAATTTGTGTAGTTTTGGAGCCAATATTTTGAAAATGCACATCGATTTTTTAAAAAAATCACTGTTTCCCAATTAGATCTATGTCTCTAGTTATCAAAACATTAAAAAAATTGGTGGACACTCATTAATCTTAAAAGATATGACGTATGTAGTTCACCCTATTTCGAAAATATCACAAAATTCAATGGAATTAACCCATACAAAATAATAGTTAGACTCCTTTAAACAGACTCTAATTGACTTCATTTAAACTATAAGAATCTATTTTCGTGTTTTGATGTAAAATATTTTCATTGGGAGGCGAATTTGAATTTAAACAGATAATTTTGTTAAGACTAATATATGCAAATCTAGTTTTTGTTACCAATCGTGTCAAAGATTGAACATCGTGTTCTAAACTGGATAATTCGCCGAGTTAACCTGAAAATAGGAAAGAAGAGATACAGATTTGATTTAACACGAACAAAAAAGGTGAAATTTGCATATTGTGTAAAGATTCGGTCCGTTATACGCCTTTGCATCAGTAAGTGTTCGATCATTAGTCGAATTCACCCACCATGCTCTAAATCTCGACTTCGATAACTTCTTGTACATACTTTGTGTTCTTTTCAWGTCGCAATAGCTGTAGGGACCGACATTTTACTTGATTGCAGCAAATAATTGTAAATAATTGCGATTTACGTCGAAGCCAAAATGTCTTGACATTTACAACTAACGACAACAACAGTTTATTTATGGATTATCCTTATAGTTACATGTGAAGTTTACCCTCGCAGTTAGTCCAAGACTAGTCGAGGCGAGGGCGATAATGAAGGAGAAAAACTAGTATAAAAATGTCAAAAATCAGTCACAGTTTGAGTACGTATATTAGGAAATTATTCAATAAATATTAGGATAAATATAGATATAAAATGATGACAAAGGTGTTCCTCAGTATGAAGCCTTTAGCTCGTTAATAATCTGATCGATATCTAAAAAATCGTCTGCTTTTTCTAAAATCTCGAGAGAGATGCTCTTAATCAGTGTCTTGAATTTGAACTTATTCAGACTTTTAATAGAAACAGGGAGACTATTCCAGATTTTAGAGCCCATAAAACGAAAAGAACGCCTACAAGATTCAGTCCTGACGCCATCAACGTAAATACATTTATTTGATGTTGATCGTGTCGTGTATCGATGGACATCTTCCAATGATCTGAATAAGCAGTTCAAATTGTCTGGGGCTTGACTGTTGAAAATATCATGCATCATAATGCATACCCGCTCAAAAAACATGAAGTTGATGGGAAGTGAGTGTATCTGTAGGAAAAATGGTACAGTGTGCTCCCGCGGGTTTGAGAAGTTGATTAATCTTAGCGCACGCTTTTGTAGAACAAGTACTCTTTTAAGGTGTGTTTTAGCAGCATTTCCCCAGCTACAGATTCCATAATTTACATAAGGGACTATCAAAGCTTTATAAATGCTAAACATTGTTTGGCGTGGTACAAAATGCCGCAGTTTAGCAATGATGCCAATCGATTTACGTATTTTTTGCACAACGTGTTCTATGTGAAATTTCCATGATAGCTGCGAGTCTAATAGTACGCCAAGGTATCGTATTGTATCTTTATGGCAAATTAATTGAGGTGTGTTTGAATTATCTGGGATGTAAAAAGAGGGAGAAAATGGGAGTTTTTTTTGACGAGGTTTAAAAATAACAAAGTTAGTCTTTTTAACGTTAAGAGATAAACGATTAGTTTTTAACCATGTCGACAGCGNAAAAATCGATGTGCATTTTCAAAATATTGGCTCCAAAACTACACAAATTTTCAATAAATTCAAAATTGGAAATTTTTGTGTTCAGTCATGTGGTTACTATGGCAACGGATTGACAGATGTTTCCATCTGTATACCTGATATCAGTAACTGAGATGTATATCTTGTATGTAAAGAAGTTTGAGGTTGCTGTGAATAACCGTTACACTTTTATGCTTCTGCAAAGTTGAGGTTAATTTGTGCAATTTTTGTGCTAAAAATGGTCATTTTCCAGGGGGGAACCTAACTTCCCCCCCCTTTTGACCGATCTCAAAAAAAATATAGAATGTCAAATAACTTACTAAATGCAATAAGTGTGCCAAGTTTCAGGAGAATCGGCTGACCCCCATGTAGCACCCACTGCCTGGTTTTGCCTGGTTTTCTCGTGGACGCACTCTTAAGGCTGATTTACACGGTACGATTTGTCGCGCGCGACTTGTAGTATACGATTTTCCTACTACAAGTCGTAGGATTTTAAGCAGTGTTTCAAAATCCTACTACAAGTCGTAGGTTGCGTACGACTGTTGTAGACAAGTCGTAGGGGCATTTACACTGCACGATTCAAGTCGTATACTACAAATCGCACGAGACAATCGTGCCGTGTAAATCAGCCTTTAAGGAACTAATATAAATCAAGAATGCGGCGTATAAATCAATTACAATTACAAAACAAATGCATGAATTAATTACAGTACAGAGACTGACTTATGCAACATTAACTTCGGTTCGCTTTCCTGGGTTCAGGGCAGCTAAAGGGACCTTTTCATGAGGATTTTCGTTATTATTCTTTACACCTTCTTTCTCAAAATCGTAGCTTTCGAAGCAATGCAGGAAATCTTTCTCCATGGAAATGTAGCCCTTTTTAAAGAGAAATTCCGCTATGTAAGATACCAATAGGATGGTTAGAAAAGAGCAAACCATGGCAAGGGTGCGGAATGGGAACATCTGGCCATATACGTGCGAGTAGTACGGATACTTCACCATTGCAGGGAGACCGATAAGCTCTTCACCCCCAATCACCCTGAGCACTAGACCAATCAGGTAACCAGACAGAGATCCGTATGTGTTGCTATAAATATAAAAGTTTTATTTATATCTTTGAATTTCGCTAATATGCATGCAATACCGAGGAAAGAGGCAACAACCAATTGTAAGAAAATTTACAATGTAACAAAAACCTTGATGAGATTCTATAAATGAAATAATTGTGTTCGCTTCTTTCTATATGATCGAAGACTGAGATAATAAAATAACAATTAAATAGAATGAGCAAAGTAAAATAAAACAACATTTTAAATAGGCGGTAAAGTGGTTGAGGTAGATATATCAGATCCTAAAATATGAAATAAGCCTTTAGTGGTGTACTGCGACGCTTCCTTTGAACGAGCCCTCCCATAATTCAATTCCAATTTCAAGATATTCCATAAAAAAGGACTTTTAAGCATAAGATATTTAAATGTATTTTTTTATATAACTTTTTTTTAGAACATATCTTGAAAAGTTTGTGCATCAAAGAAAGATTACACGAACTTCGCATCACGACCAAACGATATACTACGTCGCGTGAGTGAGCTCCACTATATAAACTTAAACTCAATTACATCTTTGAAGATGATCAATACATCCTCGTTGCACTTACGCGCCTCTGTACTCTGAATTCTCCGTAGCGGTAAACCATCAAACGGATTAGTTTGATTTCAAAATTGTCATTGCTAAGTTATTGACTCTATCGGACTTAAAATTACTTAATAAGGCATTCAAAAATTCAAACATAATTAATGAGGCCAATAGAATGAGCCTAATTTGTCACATGCATGTACCTTTATATCTGATAAAACACTCCATATTAGTATTCTTTAGTGATACCTATCCAAACGTGATATTCAAATAGAAAATAATGCCACAAAACTAAATACGGCATAAATATAATACCTATTTCACAGGTCTATTTAATTCAATAGCAAAACTAATAAAACGCACCGATCGTTTTAAAAAACGTTGGTTCACGCATCGATAAGTTATTATCCGAATGACGTGGTTTGACCTCGATTTACAAACACCCAAGCGTTTACATTTCCAGTTTTCATCATTAAGCTCAAAAACATTCTAATAACAAGCTCTGCCCACAATAGTAAATGAGCTTTTAAACTGTCCATCCACTAATCACATTTTTGGAACTTAAAATCCAGTTTTTGAAATAAACTAAACACATGCAAGGCAGCATTCAATAGAACGATTTCACATAACGATACAAAAAATGCAAATAGGTTTATCTTATGCAAATTTTATTGACTGTAAAATARACCGAGTCATGTGATGATGCAATACACGCTTCATTTTCTCTATTGCATCATTGTTTCCTATCTTATAATTAGATTTTATTGTTATTCATCACGAGCAAAACAAAACAGTCTTTTTTTGAGTCCAAATATAATTACGGACTTGACTTTTTGTTGGCCAGCCTTTGCTCGGCTTTCTCAAAAAAGCGGTTCACACGCAAGAGACACCCTAGGTGGTTACTCCCTCCTGCCATTGATCTTGTGGTATTTTTGGCCGAAACAGGTGTCAACCTTTTTGAAAATATTTGAAGCTAAGCTTGTACTAGATGCTGCATGGTACAGTTCTGCATGTGCTATGATAGAAATTATAGCAAAGCTTGGCACAAAGATTGAAGCGCATGTCAAGTCTGCTCGGAAAATGAAATGTTCGTGTTTTGTTGTGATGTAATGATAATATAAATAGCAAAAAGCTGCAATACGTGAGAGAATAGAGTCTGTATTACGTGATTACATTAACTTAATTCATTTTACAGTCAATAAATTTGCATAAAATAAACCTATTTGCATTTTTTGTATCCTTATGTGAAATCGTTCTAATAACTTAGGCTAGTATAAAGAATACTAATAAGGGTGACTTTTATCAGATATAAAGTTCCATGACCCTAGCAAAGGTCTCAGGTTTGAAACCTGATCATTGACCAATGCAGTATAGCCTCGTATTTTATCAGCTTTAAAGTTTATACCTGATAAAACTCACTCTCTCGTGTTTTTAAACTATACCACAACTTCGGGATCGACTTCAAACCATCATGCATGAATATTGATAGCAGGTTTAATTTGCATTTGATCTTTAATTACATTTTTTGTACTGACTATGCCACACTAGGCAGTAATTTATAAAGAAACTGCGGATCAGATTTTAAAAACGATCGTCATCATTAAGAAAAACCCAAGACACAAAGCAATCGAATCATAAAACGATAGCAGCACTGGGTAGCTCTTSCGTAACAGATGGCTTGTTTCTATGTGGAATAGATGAATATTCCAAATTTGCCTATTAGGAACCGAACTCAACATTCAACAATATATAATTATTTGTGATTTATCTCACAGTAATTAATGTATATTAGTGTTTGCATTTTAATAGTCGTTATTATGCACATGCTTTCACAACTTTGAAAAGTATAAGAGCCTGGGATAGGTAAAGGATTAGGTTAGGGCCCTGAGCAGATTATTTTTGTGAAGAGTTTTTGTCTTAACGTTTTTTGACTCGACACAATGAACGTTTGCGTACAAAGCTAAAACTAGTCTACCTGAAAGGAACGTAGATGACGGACACAAGCTGCGGGAACAAGATGACGAACACCAGATCGCTACACAAAGCGAACAAGGAATACACGGAGTTAACAGTCAGGCCCATTAGAGTTGCCAAAGCGCCCACGACAATTATGGATATCCTGATGACCCACAGTAATTCCCGTGCGGACGCCTGGTGCAAAGGAAAATTTACAAGCAATTACCGTAAGTGTGCTGTCGATATACGGTCTCGTATACCTCTCGTGTGGTGTTTAATTTATCTTTTCTACTTACATTCTTYCTGAAGAGAGTCTTATAGATGTTGTGTGTAAACATACTACTAGCTGAGAGGATACTGGAATCAGTAGATGACATGACAGCTGCAGAKATGGCACCAAGACCAAAGAAAGCAATGTAGTTTGGTGTGAGATAACGAAGTACCAAAGGCAGAATCAACAGACCATCTGGTGGGGTCAAGGTGGCGTTGGTCATATTACGTAAACCTTCAGGATAGAAACCCGTTTGAGTCCAATCTGAAAGAGAAAACTTATAAGGCGACTAGACTGGTAATGACGTTGACACACCGTCTATTTTTGATCTCGAAATACGTCTCGGCAATGTGGCTAAATACGAGAAAAAAACATCAATTTGGCGCGCAACATTGTTCTGTTCAAGTTAAGGTTCGATGTTTCTCGTTTTTTTTTTGGCACGCCAAGTTGATCGCGCGCGATGAAAAACGAGAAACATCGAATCTCGTCATGGCCAGAAATTCCGGACATTTGAGCCCGGAGCGAGTCAGCGGGGTTTCCCACCAAAATAGAGCTTTCTACAAGTTCCCTTGAGGTTTGAACTTTTGAAGATCAAATTTTCTACTCTTGTGCAACGATCCTTTATCTTAATACAATACTGGGCTAAAATCGAAACGTTCAAAACATCGACAAACGAGTATTGGGATAGCACGCTCTGATCCTTGAGTTCATTAGTGCCTTGTAAGGTGGTCGTTTGGAATGTTCATAGTGTAAATAATATTGTTTGCTGGAACACACGTTTCCCTTGGGTATTTTAAACAATGATCATCAGTTGATATTGTGATCTTTTGTTTATACTTGTACATTTGTAAGGAATTTAAAAGGTCTGACATTGTTTACACTAAATAGCGTAGACTTGATCTTTCGTTCGTATTTCCCGCTATTCACCACTGCGCGCAAGGCGCCAGTAAAAACCGACAAAATTAAAGTAGTGCTAGTCTGAAAGCCACGTTTCTAAGGTTTATTTTGGTACCAAACATGGCGTATAAAATGAAAAGAAAATGGAAGATCGAGGCCAATTATTCGCGTGAAACACGCGTCTTCGCCAGCCATTTCACCGTCAAGTTAGTTTTTGTACGATTTCTAGTACCAAAATGGACGCTGTTGATCGTCTTCAAAATAGCGGAAAATCGCTGTGTTCCTACTTCAATATGTGGACTTTGAGAAGTGATCTATGGAATTTCAGTGAAATGTAAAGGAACACGATCAGCCACGGTGAAATTTCGCTTCTTCGCGAATTTTCACCATGAGATACAAGGCCAAAGGGAGACGACGAAAGGAAAATATATTGTCAAAATGGACGCTGTTAACAATATTGGATTTCTTTGGATTTCCTACAGTGGAATCAAGAATGGTTTCCCTTTACGAATCCATCTATGGAATTTTTCCAATTAAAACAGATGAAATGTTATTCTCAAATGTTTTTTTTGATCCATACATTTCTTTGTAAAATTTACATTCATGTTTTTATGCATTTATGCGAAGTACCGCTGCGATTGCGGGCTCAAATGTCCGGATTTTCTGGCCATG